TCAAACAATAATAAAATATTTTATGTAGAAGCAAAAATAGATAACAATAGTCAACAAAAACAATTAGAACAACATAACCAAATAACAATAGTCAATAGAATATAGAAATTGATAAAAATATATAGCAATAACAAGCACATGATCTTAACGTTGAATAGTTGAAGCACGAAAACAGTCAAACATATAAAGATAGTAATAGCCAATATTATTAGACTTTTTTGGAGATAAAAAAAATTAGAGAGTCAATAATAAACAATAACATATAATGAATGACAATTAATTTTTTTTTCTTCTCCAATGTAATTAATTGATATATTTTTGGGCACTTATTATCTACTAATTCTTTTTGCCCCTTATTGTATACTACAATTTTTTGGGTTTTTTTAAAATTTATTATATTATTTTAGACTACTATTGTATTTAAAAGAAAATTTTTGGGCCCCTGATATTTGTGGGCCCTGGGCGTGCGCCCGTGTCGCCCTCCCCCAGGGACGGCCCTGTCAATACTTTATATTATGAAACAATCAAAACTTCTATGAAATCACATATTCATCAAATTAAATAAATGGTTGAGATTGAGTTGTATTGGTTGTACAAATGTAAAGGGTTGTATAATAACTCATATATATATATATATATATATATATATTTTTTTTTTTTTTTCTGGTTGAGAGTTTACTTCGAAATTGTGGTGTTGGTGCGAGACTTTGAAACGGTTCGTCAACACGATGCGTGATCAATTGTCAACGGCGAGCAAATACAAAGGTCAAGACTTAGAGTGTTTTCATATTGGACAAAATTTCCTATATGAAGACACCAATTTTACACTAAATTTGATTTAATTACCAGTAATACAATAAATTTCGTATAACATTCTTTCCTTACATTAATGGAGAAAATAAAATAAAAAATATATGCTTAAAATCTTAGTTTTTGATATAAAATCTAATATTACATGTATCTGTCAAAGGAAAAAATCTCTTAATCTCTAAAATATCTATATTATATTATAAAATATTTGATAAAAAATTTTAAAAACTATTTTTATGTATGAAATATTGTTTATTGATGCATAATACTTAAAATTCAAGATTACAAGTAAATTGTGCATAAGTACAACTTATTAAAATTTCATGTTTGAATTCGTGTAACTAACTGCAAATAAATATAATCTAGATGATAAACATCTCATTTTGAATATATAAAATATCTAAAATATAATTAGAATAATTATTAAGTTCTAACAAAATACTTAATTATTATTAAACCAAAAATAAAAAAATGAATAAAAGAAATACAAAAAAGTAAGAAATTTTAAATAGTTAATTTGATACTAATATGAATTTTTATAATATCTTCATATTTATATTTATTTAAAAATAAAAACATTACCGTTTTTTCAAATCCACATAAAATCGACTGGGACAAAAAAAAAAAAAAAAAAAACATTAAAATTAAGATGTATCTTGCTACATTATACGAATACCCTTCTAACATATATATATTTTAACATAGTTACTAAAAATGTTCTAAAGTCACCTTTTAAAACTCGAGTTTAAACTTTGACGCTTATTAATTTGTCACATTGCATGTTTAGGAGGTTTATATACGCATTTTGTTATTTTTCAATAAACTATCTTGAGATATTAGAAAATGCATATGGTAACAACATTTTATCGTGGAATGCTAATTAAGGCTCCAATTAATTAACTTCTTATTATATTAGTTATGAAGTATCGTGGGGGCAAATCATATTAATTAATTTCCTATTAATAAAATATAATTAGTGTCACCAAAGTCGTTCCACAAGGAAATATTCTCAAGACCTCGTCGTCACTCCTCATCATTTTTTTATGATTCGAAAACACCAAGAAATTCAGTTGTTTCATTTTAAATTCTTAAATGATTACTTCTACAATAATAAAAAGAAAAATATAGTCAATATAGATGTTAACAACGAGAATAAACTTCAAACAGATAAATCTTCATAAAAAATAAATATAAAATTTTGATTTACGAGATTTAAGATAGAAACTTTTTACGATTAATTAAATATTTAAATTATCTTGTAAAAATACAGAAGCATCATATATAATACAAGTCCATGTCATTTATACCATGTTACGGGTGCACGTCTCATTTCACGCGGAGAAATATGTTGTATGAAATAGTCTAAAACTACAAAGATAGACGGTCCAAAAAACCAAAACTACAAAATAAAACGAGTAAATTATGATTTTTGTCCCTATTGATTGTTAATAATTTTGATTTTGGTCATTGGTTTAGAAATTGCAATTTATTGTTAGAGTAAGTTACACTTATGGTCCTGTGGTTGCCATCAATTAACAACTTTCGTCCATCTTTTGAACTTATTATAGCTTTGGTCATTCTGGTCATCATTTTGTTTCACTTTTGGTCATTAATCATAAGAGCAAAAATAACAATAAATTATAAATAATAGGAACGAGAACCGTAATTTCTAACCAAAAAACAAAAGTTGCAAATTTTGATAAATTGTAATTTACTCAAATTTTAAAAGGGTTCAAAACTAGAACACGCCTCATCAAAAGCTTTGTGGGTGCGTGTCGTTCCACATCAGAAAAACCCACTGTGGGCGAATACTCGGCATGAAACGACCCAAAACTAAACCAGCATCATCAATGCAATATTGGTTCCCACTTAATTACATATTATTATAATTTGTTAAAATCATTGTTTTTTATTTTTATTTCTATAACCAACACATCTATTTTTTATTGTAACAGACTAATTATTTTCAATGTTTTTTTTTGGATGCGATTAGTTTATCATTATTTTTCGAGAATTTGTAATATATCTGGTCGTTATTTAGTGTTTGTTTTCTCATTGTATTCCCCGTCCTTCTTGTTTTTGGCTTGGTTGTTTACTCGTTTTGATGGTTGGTTTTTTATGTTATATAAAACTTTTCCTTTTTTTTTGTTGTACCCTGTTCTTTTATTTTCGTAATAAATTACTTGTCATTATTAAAAAAAATTATGCATATTATATTTATTTACAATGAAAAATAAAAAAAATACAGTTAATTCAAATATATATTCAGAATTATTATATAAATGAAAATTAACAAAACTTTGACCAAGTCTTGGGGTTGACATAAGAAAGTAAACTTTGTTTTTTTAACATCCAATTGCATCTTTTATTCAAAATCTCCAGCTAACTTCATGGTTATCACCAATCTATATATACTTGCACTTCCAGTCACAAGCTTTTATCATCTACAGCCTTCTTCATATCTACTTTCATACAAAATTCATAAATGGAGAGCAAAGACGTAGGGTTCTTCGCGGTTGTGGCCGTACTCGGAATAATATCAGCCGCTACAGGTTTTGCAGGGGAGGCCACTAAGATTAAGGTAACAATCTAATCAAATCAGTAAGTTTTAAGTATGATATTATATTTGGATTTTTTTAACAGTATATGTGTTGTGGATATGTATGCATACAGGCTTCTGAAGTTTATATCTTGGCCAATTCATGCATTTATCCAAGTAGTCCAGCTCTCGCCCTTGGAATTGTAGCAGCTGTGTTCACGATTATTAATCGAATTTACATAAGTGTTACTTTTGGCGGATGTAGTTGTTGTCGAAATGACCCTAATTCCACCCCAATTTCAAAACTTCTTGCTGTATTATCATGGTATACATTCAACTTCTTTTCTATGTATATAATGATTATCTTTATGCATATATATAAAACCAATTCATCGTTGAACACTCTGCAGGGTTGCTACAGTTATAGCTGTGTCTCTATTGCTGACAGCTGCAGGACTGAATAATAGAGAAGGTGGACAGATTGATTCATATGGTTATATAACATGTTACGTTGTGAAACCTGGAATCTTTGCTGCAGGAGCTGTGTTAGCTCTTTTAAGTGCAGTTTTTGCAATTGCTGCTTATATAACCTTAACTCCAGCGCCACAACCCACAACCACAAATCCAGCAGTTGCATTCCCAGTGGGTACTAATGTTGATCTAGAGAAAAATCCAGTACAATACCCTCCCCAACAGTATCCTGCACAACAATATCAAAATTAAAATTTGAGTTGTAAATCCATCAATTGATCATAGTCTGTGGAGTCGTTCAACCGGGACCAATCATCATCAAAACAAGATAGACTGTTTTACGCCTGTTTCAAACCTACACTTTTGTTTGCTTCATATAGCGATCATGTAGATTGTACGTACGGATAAATCTTTGAAAAGGGGGTTGGTTTGATGAACTTTCTAATTATTAGGGATGTGTTTTGGATTTCCATGTTTCTACGTTGTATTATATCAATTTGTATATTTGACTTCTTGTTGATGGTTTGAATTGTAACTTATTGTTTCGTTTATGAATCTTTAGTTTGCGGTTTGTTTGATGTAAAAGATTATTCAAAATTTGTTTAGCTGAAACCATAAATAAAGTAAATGTGTTCCCAGTTCGTTAATCGCAAGATTACTATAATCTCGAATTTAAACTCTAATATAGAGTTGTCAAAACGTTATACATAAATATAATATATGTTTGTTTGCAGTTGACCTTATGTTGGTAAGTTTATATTTGGAGCTTTTTTAGCTTGCAATTAACCTTTATGCACCAAAAGAATATTCATCAATATTGATTCCATATCACATATGTATTGTTTGGTTTGTAGAATTCAAAGAATTCTAAGGAAATCGGAATGATCAATTTCTTTTGATCAAATTTTAATTCTTTTGTCTGGTTCACGTGTTAAATGGATAGATACATTTGAATTCTACAAATTAATGAATTTATCATTCATTGAAATAAGTGAAACAGAATTAAATTCCATCCTTTTGCATCTAAACCAACATTGCTTATCCCCTCGCCCATCCCTGCCCCCGTCATGACCATACTACTATTGTCATTGTCACGCACCCACCATAACCCCTAACCCTCCACCACCACACCACTATTGTCGCCATCACAACCGCCACATACACCCAACCCCCAAGCCACCATAGACGGACCTAGAGGGGTGGTTAGGTGACACGTGCCATCGTATTGTTCCTCTATGGTAAGATAAAAAAAATTAGGTTCGTGAAAGGTGCAACGCTTTATTCTAGAAGGTGCAACCGTTTTATATGGTGCCATCTTATCCAAATATTCTTGGGTCCGTCCCTGTAAGCCTCCACTAACCACCATGTCATTACTGTCGTCGTTACAACCACCCACCTGAGCCACAAATCTTGACCAATCAAAGCCGCAATTTTTAACCAGGAAAAACGGTAATTATTGACCATTCTTGACCGTATGAAGAGTTAAGATCAATCTTTTACTTCTCAATTGAACCTCTCCCTAGGGGTGTGGATTGGGAAAATTTCCCAAGATTGCATAATTAAACTATTGTTTTGTTAATTTGGCTTATACTGTTTGATGGAAACGAAAAAATAAACATCTTTTTTTTGTCCTAATTACATTAAATAACCTTTTTAATTAAAAATCTTATTTAATATGAGCTATAGGATCAATAGAAATGGATGGTCAAGATTAATTTTATCCTTTGATTCATAATGTAGCAGTTGATTTTTACACTACGAGAACAGTAATTAAATAAAATAATAAGAAAAAAGTTGAATCATCACATATGATTTTATATTAAAGCCACGTATAAGATCACATGTAATTACATGATTTTGGCCGCAATCTGAAGTCATAGATCACATCATCCAAACATATTTTTTTGGTTGATAATGTAAAATCAATATAATTTTATATATAATTTAATATTTTTATATTATCTTATTTAGTTAATGTTATGATTTAAACCTTCTTATATATCATATATGGGTGTCATGGAATCCATCCAAGTTCTCATTTGAACATGGTACATAAAAATATTCAAATGCCACACAAGTCAACTATTAAATCAATCAAGTATAAATTACGATATCAAGAGTAAATTACAATTTTCGGTTAATATTTTCTATTTTCAGTCATGATTTTTATTTTTATTTTTATAATTGATAATTTATTATTATTTTTATCCATAAATTAATTCCTACCTTTAAAGTATAAGAGATCAAAACATTAAAAAAAAATGTAAACCACAAGAACCGAAACAACAGTAATTTGTAGATTATAAGAATAAAAATAACAATCAATTACAAACTATAGGAACGAAAACAACAATTTTCAAACCATAAGAACGAAAATCACAACTTTTAATAAAACCGCAGGGACGAAAAACATTAATTAATTAAGAAGAGTCATTAACAACAACTTCGGCATCCATCCTAACAATAAGGTTAAGAATTTAAGAAACAATCATTTGCAAACTTAATAAATCATACTAATTATAAATACATTGTTCATATGTTATTTCATATATCAACAACATGTATGAACAAATTTAGTGTTTAGAGAGTGCTGTTTCATATGTAAAACGTTCATAACAATTTTGTTTGGGAAAAAAAAAGTGGTGAACATTTTACATATGAAGCAACATTGTATTAACACTGCATTTTTGCACATGTTATTTCATAGGGCTGTATATGGGTTAGGTTGGCTGGGTTGAAGACATTAAAACAACCTAAGAGGTTGTTTGTTTACCTCTTAATAGTTCCATTAGGAGACAACATTTGAATCGTTAAGAGGTGAATCTTATTTGGCAAAAAAAGTCTGCCTCTTATTTGAATCTTATTTGTTTACCGGGTAAGATTCTTGGCCCTTGCCATGTTCATCGGGTGAGGAAAACTACCCGGTAAATACTTACCGGGTAAGCGTTTAGTTAACGGCCCCTAAATCATATGGTTTTCTTCACAAATCCGGATCGATTTAAGACTAGAGGGTCACAATCACGTGGCTAAACCCATTTAAAAGTAGATAATGATTCATAAATGCGTGATATTGATTTTGCATATAAGCCGAAAATGTTTCCGCATCTACTCTCTTTCTCATCCAACTATCTTCTTGTTAAAATTTTGTATCAACCATATGCTGCAATAGTGGGGTTCTTGCTCCTGTATTACTCTCACCTTTTGTTTCTCAACTGAAGTTGATACCTTATCTGCAAACCATTTCTCAGGTTAAAAAAGTCAGGTCATCGACATCAATATAATACTTACGATACATCTCTTAGAAGCATGTTGTCATATTTTGTAACTAAGTATCAATACAATTACATACGTTTTTCAAAATTGTCTCCCCCATCATAATTTATAATTTAAACTAAAATTTATCAAAGAGTAAACTACGATTTTCGTCCTTGTTGCTTGTTCTTTATAACCATTTTCTTCCCTACTCATTCCTAATCAGCATCGGGCATCACGTTCCCACTCCCCCTATTTTCTAGAAAGAAAACGAACAAAACCCAAAATGATTTTTGTTCCAATATATAAAATATTAATTGAATCTGGGTGTTTCTATTTCACATGAACAACAACATGAATCATCAGAGGATGGTTTGGGATGGGGTGGTTTTGGAAATGTTGGGAAACCAAAGTACTAAAAAGTGAATTTGGAAGACATTGGATTTTTATGGAGTTATCCGTGGAAAAACACATTGTGGCAACATAAATCTCTTCAAAAGGAAAGCATATACAAGTAGAATTTTTGAAAAACTTTATTTCATTGTGCAAAACCAAAAACAAAATCAAATAGGAAGGTTGGACATAGATAGCCAGAAACAAATAGATAGCCAAAAACAAAAACAAAATCGAGATGGATCTGAAGATCGAGATTAAAGTGTGTGGTTTGGGATCGGAGCGGTGGTGGAGTGGGGGAAAGAAGACATGTTGAGAGCGAAGAGGGGAGATAAGGGGATCGATGGGAAGAAACCAGTGGGACAGGGCTAGGGCTGGTGGTGGTGGTTTTCATCGGAGATGGAGCGGAGAAGGGAGGAGAAGGGAGACGCGATGTCCAGTTCCTGGGTGAAACTTTTTGGGTTGAGGATACATACGTATAATATATGTGTGTGTGTGTGTGTAGGCGCACGCGTACACGCATATGGTTCAATAAAAAAATTAATTAAAATTAAAAAGACTAAAATGCCCTTTAAATCTAACAAGAATTATTCACAAGGATAAAAAAAAATAAAACAAAATGGCAACCATAAAAACCAAAAAAACAAATTTTAAGGACTGAGAACGAAAATAGTTACAAATAACAAACCACAGGAAATAAAATCTTAGTTTACTCTGTATCAAATGAATTTTACAGATTAAAGAGTCCGACCCACACCTATAAATACGATACCTCTTTCAAAGGCTTTGCATAACCCTTGTGGATGGTATACAAAGAAGTTAGTAATTGCTAGAGGAGACAATTACATTACATAATCATATTTTAAATGAAATCATATTTTAAATGAAATCATATTTTGAATGAACTGTAACGCTAAAAAAATATGACCTATTTATTTTAATAATAAAACATAAATACGAACAAAATGAAATAGTAAAGTCTTGAACTATTATAAAGCTGATTTACAAAATAATGTATCAACAAGACAAATATAATTACATTGTTGTAAATATGAAATAGACGTAATTATTGAACAATATGACAATTCAGTTAGAACAAGATAATCCGTAGGCCAGATTAAATTTAAAGTATAACCATGCATACAATAGAGACTTGTTAACGAAATATGAAATAAGAACAAAGAAAATATGCCGTTAAACTAAAAAAAAGGATATGATTATACACATTATTAGAAAACAAAGTATCAGCAACAAAAAAAATATTTCGTTGATCAGCAAGGGAACTGGTTTTTGGCCATCCCCTCACTGATTAGCGAGGAAACTGATTTTTGGCTAATTCCCTAGCTGATCCCTCGCTGATCAGCGAGAGATCATTCCCAATTCCCTCGCTGATCCGTCGCTGAAATATTCCCTTGCTGATCCGTCGCTGATAGCATTACCTACGAGCTTTTGACCGACGGACGATCAACAACGGTAGACCCCTTTTAACGACGAATCAGCGAGAGAATTTTCCCTTGCTGATACTCTTATTTTTGTGGTGACGAGAATGTAATCAGTTTTGTGATTATCATATTTTATACAACAAACTCAATGCGAAAGAATGAATGATTCAAAAATTATTGTTGTTAGGAATCTCGAATAATCTAACACACATACACACATATACATATATATATATATATATATATCGATGGTGTTGATTAAGTGTTATAAAATGAATATTCTACCGATAACAACTACTTGTTCCAGTTATACTGTTGAACAAGTCTTGGGTTGACATAAGAAAGTAAACTTTGATATTTAAAATTCATTTGCATATTTTAATATAAATCTCCAGCTAACTTTATGGTATCACCATTCTATATATACTTGCACTTCCACTCACAAGCTTTCTTCATCTGCAGCCTTCTTCATATACACTCCATACTTTCATACACAACTCATAAATGGAGAGCAAAGCTGTAGGGTTCTGCGCAGTTGTGGCCGTGCTAGGAATAATATCCGCAGCAGCCGGTTTTGCAGGGGAGGCCACTAGGGTTAAGGTACGTAACAATCAACTACGTCATTTAATTGATATCAGAGATATATTTAGATTTTTATTTACAATATGCACGTTGTTAATATGTATGTATGCATACAGGCTTCTGAAATTTACATCCTGACTGATTCGTGCGTTTATCCAAGTAGTCCAGCTCTCGCCCTTGGAATCATAGCAGCGGTGTTCACGATCATTAATCGAATTTACATCAGTGTTACTTTTGGCGGATGTAGTTGTTGTCGAAACGACCCTAATTCCACCCCAATTTCAAAACTCCTTGCTGTATTATCATGGTACATTTAACTTCTTCTTTTCTATTTATACCATGATTATATTTATACATGTAAGTACATATAGTTAATTCATTTTTGAACATCCTGCAGGGTAGCTACAGTTATAGCTGTGTGTCTACTGCTTGCAGCTGCAGGACTAAACAACAAAGAAGGTGGACAAGTTGATTCATATGGTTATTTTACATGTTATGTTGTGAAGCCTGGAATCTTTGCAACAGGAGCTGTTTTAGCTCTTTTAAGTGCAGTTTTTGGAATTGGTGCTTATATAACCTTAACTCCAGCCACACAAACCACCACCACAAATCCTGCAATTGCATTCCCAGCCGGTACTAATGTTGATCCGGAGAAAAACCCAGTACAGTACCCTCCTCAACATTACCCTCCACAAAAATATTAAAATGAAATCCGGAGTTGTAAATCCATTCATTGGTCGTTTGTTTCATAGAGTCGGAGCCAGATTGATATCAAAATAAGAAAAATCATTGTATGCATCGTTTGTTACTTTGTTGAGGGTTCCAACTTCCAAGTAGTGTATTTTGTCAGATTCTTTAATTTCCTTTGTGGTTTCTTTGCATGCATTGGGGTAATTGATTATTTGAAATTTGTTTAGCTGAATCCATAAAGCTTGTATCAATTTCATATCTTCTATCCTTCCTTCTTTCATAAATTACGTTGAATTTTATTGCATTGCTACCTAAAAGTAGAATCATAAAAAATAGAGACAAACATATACAGACGTCTACAAATTGAAATGGTAGTTTTGAAATCGTAAATATAGATATAAGTTGGATCGTTTAATATGGTTGATAATTTTTTTCAAAAAAATGGGAGTTTTCTTATTTAATAACAAGAAATCTACTATATTGTAATGCAAAATAATATTCATGTGTATATAATAATCAAAAGTCACCAGAGATGAATGATGGATGATACATCAATGTTTTCTAAATAAAGTAGTTTTAGATTTTAGTAGTAGATAAAAAAACTTAGAGAAACAATAAACACTACTGTAAAGTGAACATTCAATTAATTTTTTTTTACATAGTTATTTCTCTCCAATGTAATTAAATTAATACATGTTTGGGCCCTTGTTATAATGAAAAATTCTTTTTGCATCATATTAGATGCTAAAGAAAGTGTGTCTCTTTTATTTATAATATATACGAAAAAACATGGGTCCCTATTTCTTGTAGACCGTAGATGTATGCCCGACCCGCCCTCCCACGAAAGGTCTTGACCCTATTTTACTTGTACAAAAATAATACCCAGACTCATTACAAACTAATCAACCAATTAATAACCCCTTATTTGTTTTTTCATTTTCAGCTCTTAATTACCACTTATGTTTGATTCATTCAGACATTTTGTAATTCAGACTGTTTGTTTTATTTATTTATTATTTTCAGAGTCTCTTATCTCTTAATAAGGTCTAAATAAATAAGGGGTAAACTAATATCTTAATTCCTTTTATTTTCTCTTTTCTTTGATTCTCTTTGGCTATTGCTTCTGTAAAATGCATGCCTTCACTTTCTCCTCCCCTCTCTCTCTCTCTCTCTTTATATATATATATATATATATATATATAATTTATGTACGTATAGATTAGCTTAGAAGATTAATATGAAACAAGAACTTCTATCGATGATCTATCATCTATCAAAAGTATCTATCTTTTCGTAAACAAACTCACCCCCGACATTTCCGATAGCATCGGAAGTCTAAAAGGTATCCAAAAGGTTCTTATTGTATTCTATCTGTTAAGCAATTGTTGACATGAATTTCAACAATGAAAACTTTATGAAATCAAGAGAATTTTGCAAAATGTTTGCACCTGATTTTACAAAAACAAACTATTGATTAAGATTTCAGACGTTTGTCAGTTTATAAAAACAGTCTTATTGATTCAAATTTCAGACTTCAGCACCACCTCTTATTAATCAGAAGTGAAATAAGATTTCAGACGTCAGCACCTCTTAAAATTTCAATAAATTCAATTAAAGAAAGTAAAATACATACTTCTTGTTCCAAATATTTTGGCCGAGTCAATGGTTGATGTACATATTTGTTTTCTACTTCATTTTTTAATTTAATATCCACTTTACGTACGTTAATCCAAGTCTCCAACTGACTTTATGGCGTCATAAAGCCATCTATATATACGTACACTTTTGGTCGCAACCTTTCTTCATCCATAGGCTTCTTCATATACACTCCATACTTTCAAGAGACAACTCCGTTTTCAGAGATAGTGCAGAGCAAAATGGCCAGCTTTTGCACAGTTGTGGCGGTGCTCGGAATGATATCAGCGGCCATCGGTTTTGCGGGGGAGGCCACTAGGGTTCAGGTAAGGTAACAATCAAACGATGGACGACTATTTTGTTTAACCAAAATTAGAGATACGTTTTGATTTTATAACGATATACGTTTTGTGGGCATGTAGGAATCTGATGTATATATCGTAGAAACTATGTGTTATTATCCAAGTAGTCCAGCTTTCGCCTTTGGAATCGTAGCGGCCGTGTTCACAATCGCTACACGAATTTATATAAGTGTTTGTTGGTCCTCTCTCTCTGTGATTTGATGATAATCCTTTTTCACTTATACATTGTATTTATGTTTCTGTATTTTCAGTTCCAGCGATCTTCACTGAGTATGTTCAGTGATCGCTGAAGAACTTGCATTGTAAATCTATCAGAGACAACAATACTTCAAAAGGACAACACTCACACCAAAGAACCTTCAGCAACCGTCGAAGACTGAAACTGAAGATTAGAGACTGACGAGTACGTGATCTGAAGCGGTATTCAGTGATTACAAGTCTGTCTACATATGTGTGAAGACTGCTCAAACTTCAACGAATGATGATGAGACATTCAGGTCATTCCAGCATTCAGCGATCAAAGGAAGTTTGCTTAGCACGATTGTTGTTGTCTTGTCCTTATGCATACAAAAGACAAAACCCATTCCCCTACGAAAGTTAGTACGATACGGAGCCGATTAGTAGACTCTTTGTCCACCAACTTTAGGTAAGGATGTCTGCTCATGAATAGTGCTTTTGTACTATATATTGTGGCAAAGGGCAAGTCTTCCACTTAAGGCTTGACACGCTCTCTAACCCTACCTTATTGCATTAAATGAACATTTAAGCACAGAGTATAAATAGAAGTGTTTCTTCTCCATGCAGAGAGCACGCAACTCTCTCTCTAACCCTAATTCTTACTTCAAGCATTTCTAGCTTATGTAAAGGATCTTCCTTATAGCAAATTCTTTTCTTGTATTTGCTAAAGCTTTGTGTGTAACCAAAGATTGTTTAGATAGGTTTTTTATTATCTTATCTTTCCGCAAACAATCTTGTAAAATCTGTATTGATCTTCTCTATCAATATATATTTTAAATTTGAAAATACTGTGTTTGTATTCATCCCCCCCTTCTACAAACTGTTTCTCTTCTTGTAGACCCTTACGGGACCAACAAATGGTATCAGAGCAGTGTTTTTTTCTTTCCTTGTGTTTAGCTATTTTCTGTATTAGTTTATCTCTTCTTAGATAACTTTACTGCTTACAAATGGCTTTACAAATTACAAACACACACAAAAGATAATGGCTATCTTGCCAAACCTCCCCGGTTTGTCCGTGACAACTTTAATCTCTGAAAGAACCGGATGTCCCTCTTTCTGGAAGGTGTGAATCCTGAAATTCCACATTACATAGAAAATGGACCATATATTCCATTTGCTATTGCTCCGGCTGTTCCAGCAACAGCTACGACTGCCGCGATTCCTGAACGGCAGATTCTGTAACATCCAAGTTCTAATATGCCCAATTATTTGCTTAGTATATTTAATTATTGGGTTAAAGAGAACTTATGATTTAGTGGGAGTTTGGGTCTGAAGTTTTAGAATTATATTTCTTGAGAATATATTAGAGGATTTGGAAATTATCACGTCAAATAGATACGTAAAACGGATTTTTTTGGGAGATCTTTTCTGGAATATTTTTGTTGGATGTTATAGATTATCTCTTTATGAACGTGTAGGCGAAAATCTCATAGAAAACGGAGGTCCGAGCGAAAAGTTATGAATAATTTAAGTGTTGATGGTCAAAATGGGTACCTAGCCGGGCCAACCCGGCCCAACTCGAGTTTTAGCATTATAAATTGGAGTTTTGGCCCATTTTTCTTGTCATTCAAGTCCAGAACTCACATACACACTAGAGGTGCAATTTTCACACACATAATTCTTACTCGGCGTGCAGGGAACGGGCGCCCGGCGTGCGGGGAACGGTCGCCTGGCGTGCGGGGAACGGGCGCCCGGCGTGCGGGGAAGAGGGCCCGGCGTGGACCTGGCATGCTGGGAAAGGGCGCCCGGCGTGCGGGGAACGGGGCACTGCGTGGCCCCGGTGTGCGGTGAAAGGGCCCCCGGCGTGCGGGGAACGTGGCCGGCGTGCTGGGAACGGG